TTGTCTTTCTACGACTTATCGCAGTGTGAAAAAGGGTTGGTTTTTAACATGATGTCTGCACCTGGCTTTCCCTGCCATCTCTTTCTACTTATCGCAAGGTGAATATGTCCGTACCCGGCTTTCAATGCGTCATGTCTTTCTACTTATTAAAATGCGAATAAGGGTGGTTGTAACATATGTCTGTACATGGCTTTCCCTCTGTCGTAGCTTTCCATGTGTCATGTCTTTCTACTTCTCGCAAAGTGAGCAAGGTGCGTTTAACATTTGTCTGTACCTGGTTTTCCCTGCATCATGGCTTTTAATCTGTCTTGTCTTTCTAGGTATCGCAACGTGAAAAGGGGGTGGTGTTTTAACATATGTCCGTACCTGGCTTTCAATCTGTCATGTCTACGTATTTATCGCCAAGCGAAGAGGGGTGGTTTTAACATGGGTATGCACTTGGTTTTCCCCCTGTCATGTTTTTCTACGTATTGCATAGTGAAAAGGGGGTGGTGTTCAACATGTGTCTGTACGTAGCTTTCCATGTGTCATGCCGTTTTATTTATCACAAGGTGAATACAAGGCGGTCTTGACAAATGTCGGTACCTGGTATTCCCTGTATCATGTCTTCCTACTCATTACAAGGTGAACGAGGGGTCGGTTTTAAAAGGTCTGTACCGGGCTTTCCCTGTCATGTCTTTCTACTTATCGCAAGGTGAACAAAGGTCGGTCTTAACATATATCCGTACCTGGCTTTCTGTCACGTCCTTCTACTTATCGCGCAAAGTGAATAGGGGACATATGTCTGTGTTTTGTCTTCCTACGTATGAAAAGAAGGAAAGTGGGGTGGTTTTTAACATATGTGTGTACCATGCATTCCCCCTGCCAATGTGTTCCTGCTTGTTGCAAGGTGAAAAGTTCTTCTTATCGCTTGCAAGATTCCCTTTCAGACTTTCAGCTGTCATGTATTTCTACTTATCGCATGGTGAATAAGGGTGCTTTTAACATATGTCTGTACCTTGTTTTCCCTCTGTCATGTCTGTCTACTCGTCGCAAGGTAAAGCGGAAGTGGTCTTAACGTATGTCCGCACCTGGCTTCCCTCTCCCAGCTGCTTTTTTCTACTTCTCGCAGGATGGAAGAGGATGGATTTTAACAGATGTCCGTACCTGCCATTCTCCTAGGAGACTGGAAGAATTTCTTCTGGACTAACGCGCTCTCTTTTTTCCCGCACGCACCGCGAAGGGTTCCTCGTTAAAAAACGATTGCCCAGCTTACGCCACAGCACCTACACCGCTCACATACACCACAGCACCTAGATCACTCACGCACACTACAGCACCTGCACCGCGCCAAGTACACCACAGCACCTACAGCGCGCCACGCACACCAGAAAACCTACACCGCCTCTATGATATTCTATCTTATGTCTTAGCCCGGGGTGGGTTTGGTGGGGTTGGCGGGATGCACCCCTCTGCGGGGATCGTGCGTGTCGAAGCGCTCTCGCCGCAGCGCCGCACGCGTTTGCAAGCTCGTCAGCGAACCCTCTGCGGGGGTCATACACGTCGAAGCGCTCTCGCTGTGGCGCCGTGAGAATTGTCAACGCGGACGGCGAACCCTCCGCGGGGATCGTGCGTGTCGAACCACTCTCGCTGTGACGCCAAGCGAATTTTCCAAGCTCGCCGGCGAACCCTCTGCGGGGATCGTGCGTGTCGAAACGCTCTCGCTGCGGAGCTGTGGGATTTTGCAACGTGGCCGGCAAACCCTCTCAGGGGATCGTGCGTGTCGAACCACTCTCGCTGTAGCGCCACTCGAATTTTCAAGCTCGCCGGCGGACCCTCTCGCTGTTTTGGGCGTGTGGGAGCGCTGGCACATGTAGCGTCCTGACAACTCTGTCTGGAATCGACGTCCCTCTCGCTGTTTTTGGCCCGTGGCAGCGCTGGCGCGTGGAGCGTCCTGACAATTCGTGTTTGGAATGGACGCCCTCTCGCTGTTTTCGGCCCGTGGCAGCGCTGGCGCGTGCAGCGTCCTGAGAATTCTGAGAGGAGAATTCCTGACTCGTGCCTTTTGTTTTTCCTGACTCGCGGCCTTTTTCCTGACTCGTGCCTCTGTTTCCTGACTCGTGCTTCGTTCTAATATCCCTATATGCCCCCCTTTAACGGTACCGCTTATTTGGGAAACCCCCTTGTCAATCTCTGCATCACTCGGACGGGCCTTGGCGCGGCCGGCAGCCTTTCTGGCTGGTGTGCTCGTGCGCGTCTTTTTGCGAACCTTTGGAGCCTGACAAGGAGAAAAACTTACGGCAATATAGCATAATGTACTTCGATATTCTACACTATAACATATCATACTATAATATATATCTTTCCATTTACGAATATTTATATATATATATAGACATACATCATGTCAATGAACTAGTTCTTGCTCCACTCGGACATCAGCCTGCGCAACCTCTGGTGCGCCCTCGCCATCCTGATCCCGATGCTCACGGCTTGCTTCTTTGGCTGCCTGAACATCTGGCAGCGGCCTTAGCATCTCTGGCAAGTTGCAGAATCCTAGATGCTATGGGGATAAGTTCACTGGGACGTCGTGCTTAGAGCTGTGCCGGGCATGCTGCGCTCAACCGATGTGCTGCTTGCATAAATGCCGCAGCACTGCATCGCACTACGCTTACCCTATGCCCTTTTTGTAGCAGCCATGCTTGAGTAGCGACCAAAGCGCACTACCAAATTAATTGGGCCGATGGCCACCATTCTTTACAGCTCATTCTTGAATTGTTTATCGCAGCTGTAGCAGTGTGCTCTTGTAGCCCGTCCTGCCGCTTTAACTGCGTGAAAAGCATTGGCATAAAATCATATCTCTAAACTTTGCGATCCTCGGCTTGGTCTAGCCGCCTTCAGCATTAGCTAGCAATATTTCGCCATAGATAACTACCGTAGGATGCCTCTCTCCTCATCCGAGCTTGAGTCCTCGTGGACTGCCTTCGTTTCGCAGTAATGGCAATAAAAACCTTGTTGGTCATAGCCGCACCTTGCAATCTTTGCCAGTGTGCTCCAATCATACACAGCAAATGCTCGCTACCCCGTACTCCCTCGCATGAAGCTGAGCAGGTGGCTTCCTGTTCATGTCTTTTTTCATCTCCTCCACATTCGTTCCACCAGCTCTGCCCAGGTACAGCCGTTTTACGCCCACGCAACACAGCCAGTATTCCAGGCAGCCCCACAAAGCAGATCTCAGCGGACCAAAAAGACTCCTCAATGGACAGGCAAGTATCAGGTAGTCAGGTAGACATGCAGATCAAATCAGTAACCTTTTGATCCTCAGTGGGGAGGCTCAAAGAGACGGTCACATCCAAGGGTTGCTTGGCCTCTCCATTCGTCACAAGGGGGGATGGGGTCTGCTTCCGACAATCGAAGCACCGGCTCTGGTTGACTAGCACTGCATGATCCCCAGCCACTGAGACAAGAGTGTTTTCGTGAGCAACTTGGCAAGCTGGCAGGCTGCCAGTCTCTTTATCGAACACAGCTTTGCAGAAGCGCCTTTGGCCGACAACAGCCAGACTCCTCTCTCCACCCTCCCCCCCACACGAGCCAATTGCTCAATCAACCCCACCCCGCGCAGAGTTGTAAAGCCGGCAGCAGGACCCACCAGCCACACCGCAAGACTAGTTAAAGGATCCACGTCTCCGATGAAATACCAATCGAAAGCGTGGTAGCTTCCCTAAACAGGGGGTGCCCAATGTACAACGAAAATATTTTAACCATTTCTTAGAGGATACACCAGGATTCCACTCGAACGCAAAAAATAACCTTGTACCTCCAATGTCATACCAAAAATATCTTGCTATATGAATTATCGTCTAAACTCCTAGTATCCCCCTTAATAATACCTATAGTAGTCCCCTATATAATCCCCTATATAACCACCCCTTTAAGGAGTTTAGACTATAGCTCATATCAAAGGTGATTAATGCTCCCACCCCACGCCAAGGCTGCCCCTCGCCAGCGTTTGCAATGATTTAGTGGTCCCTTCAAAGGGGATATAGGGGTTGGATAGGGGTTCTATAATTATAGGGTCCCTTAAAGGGCGGCTATATAGAGAGATTGTGTTGGATTTTCTTCAACTGCGCCACCCTTCGTCGAAGTCGGGGATTGCCACAGTGCGAATGTTTGTCTCGCAGTCCACAACCTTGGAGCAAGGTGAGGCTGGGGGGGTTTAGGGTATATACTGGGGTTATATAAGGATTATGGGGTATACATTGGGGTTATATGGGGATGATGGAAGATGACATGGAAACTGCCACTTGGGGTTTGGGGTTTAGGGCCCGAATTTCTATGTTTGGCCAATCCCCCAGAGCACATGGAACGCCCCAAACGTCTGAGGGACCGGCCTGAACCCCATTCCAGAAATTTACAAAGTCTTCCCACTGCATCCAAAACGATCCGTCATTTTTCTGCTCACTTGATATCAGCTGCTGTTTGACTCCTGATCTGAACAGAACGCAGTGGCTTTGATGGTGCAAGAGGGGTTGCACGTGCACGCAGTCCAACAACTTGCATGTCGCAGGATGAGATGCTTGCAAGTGTCTAGGCCATTTGCTCCACAGCGGGGAGCGGTCTGACCATGCCTGAGCGAATCACATTCCACCAGTGAGACGTTACCTGAAGGACTGCCAAGTCCGTGACTCCCTGCCACTCTCCTTCTCCATGTGGATTCCGAATCTTGACCAAGCGGAAGTACTCGCCAGACCTGGGTTTGCAGGCCAAGCCCTCCCGTCTTGGGATCCAAGGGCATCTGTTCAACTGCAGCGAAAAGAAATGCTAGAAAATTCCATGTGTTGTAGAGCAAATGCAGCAGTTGCGTCCTCAAGTCGCTGGGCTCTCTTAGCACCAAGACTGTAGACACATCTCTGTTGGTCTGGCGCTCTGGATGTTACTCTGCATGTTCTGTGTCAAGCCCACTTGCGACCCCTTACATCCTCATGTGCCCATGCAGAGGTTGGCGTCAGTCTACAGGGCTACATACTCTTGACATCTTTTTTCTATGCCAGCTCCGCATTGCAATAAGGTTTCAAGCCTGCCTGTGGCGCTTGAGGGCACGATAATTTGCAGCATGCCGTTGGACATGTGGTAGGGAGTAATCCATACAACAGCAAGCCGCGAAGGCGACTGCCGGATTTCTGATCCGGCACCTGCAAGACGATCAGCACGCTGCCTATGGAACGCGTGCGAATCCAGATTTGGGACCGTAGGAAGTTTGGCTTTCATGGCATTCCACCACAGCCTGCTATGGATGACTTGGCAAATTCAGCAACAAACATATGCCACAAGTGCTTGTTGCAGATTTGAGGACAGGGGAAATTCTGACCCATGAAGATGAGCCAGAAACGCAACGCAGAATTGCAGGAGGCGCAAGTTCAAGAGGGAACAGCTTGAACATGGAACTTTCGGAAGGACTGGACCATTCTATCTACCCACAATTCCAACAGTTTTCTTCGTTTAAATTTCCAAACACAGAACCGCACGCCCACAGGATGACAGTACTGACATGTCGAAGACACGTCTATAGACGTGCAGACTGACACATGCTCCAGCAATCGATCGAGACCCAGGCGTGAGATCTTTCTGCGCCGTGGTCAATTCCAGGACCGAATACCTTTCCACTGCTTCTCAAGACAACGCAGTGAAGCGTGTTGACTCAAGTGATGAGTGCAATTCAGGTTCTACATGGTTTCTCGTCATAATAATTGTCGCTGTGATGATGCCAGTGCTGGGGCTGGTAGCTTTGGCAGCGAGTGGCGGCGGCTTTGTCGGTGGGAGAGGTGGCGGCAGCAGCGCCCGTGCAGAGACAAAAACAACAATCAGTGCCCAAGCCCTACCCCCACTGCTACTCCTGCTACGTACTGCAGCAATAAGAAGGGCAACAATGATTACAAACGACCACAACTACGACGGCCGCTGAACACGTCAACTCCAGTATGAGCTGTGGTACTGATAAGATTGCTACAATTCATTACCGCATTAGGTCTGCAGTGCTGCTGGTGGGGAATCAAGAAATCAACCGAAAGCTGTACTGTGACACTTTGTCTGAATCTATAACCCATTAGGGCAGCCATGAGCCCAATACATAGCCGAAACCCTAAACCCTTGGCGAGAGCGCCGCTGACGATACATGGGCGCTCGAGCCTTGGGGACAGGCCTCCGCACTGGCACCAAACGAACCTACGGGCCTGGGAGGGTAACCGCCTACGACACTCGTGAATTTTTCAGGGGCCCCGGTCTCCCAGAACCCTCCCGGAAAGGCCTGTGGTCTCTTACAAAATCTCAGGGGCGCAGGGACGGTAAAGGTTTTTCCACTTCTCAGCACCTTCTTTCTCTGGGGCCTGGGAGGGCCCAGAGGCCTTAGCAGGGGTCTGCAGCCTTCCAGCAACCTACCTTCCTTTCAAATTTGCGGTTGGCCTCCTGACACCATCACTGCATCGTCGTGATGCTTCTTGGCACTTCTTAGAGCATTTGCCAAGATCCACAGGTGGAGGCCAGCCAAGGCATCCGCTACCGGTGGTTGGGGTGGGACCTCTGGCTACGCGAGTGCGCGAAGAGTGGGTGCGCCCCTACTTGGAATATAAACGCACCCACCGCGCGCGCACACTGATACACGCCCCAAACCCTAAACCCTAAACTGCTCAGGTTGCGCATGCGAGTCGATCAAGCCCTGCTTGGGCATCCCCTTGCGAATCCCAGCGCAGCAAATGAAGGCGCCGTTGCGCTTAAGACGAAGGAGGAACCTGTTAGGATTTAGGGTTTAGGGTTTGCGCTTCAGACAAAGGGGGAACCTCCAGAACAGTAGTAGTAATCATGATGATAATAGAATGGGAGTATAATGGAGTATAGATAATGATAATGATAATAACCTGGGATAATAATGGGATAATGGAAAATAAAATGGAAACTACTATTTAGGGTTTAGAGTAAAGGACATTGCGCAGCTTCAACAGGAAGCTGAGCCTGGCATCAACTTATCAAAGGCCTGCCTGAAGAACTCTTCGTCTGCAAATGAATCATCATTCTTGGTGTAGGTATCCGTGCCGTCAATCTCTGCCCAACTTTCCCAGATGCTTTGCCCGTGGTCCCGAAAGAAGTGCACGGCCGGATTGCCGGTGATTGCGCTGAGAGCCCACGACATTTGGCCACCTGCTTACAGCATGACCTACGAGTATATGTCCCAGTCCAAGTGAGCTGGCAGGCAGACTCCGTGCCTTCCAGCTTGTCGTAGCCGCCATACATTTTTGCGAATGCTTTTTCCATGAGTAGGGCCCACATCTCATTGCTGTTTGCTTGCGCAAAGCGCGGATTCAGAGTTCCAGCATGGCAAGGAATCCGCTCATCGATCACGACGACGACCCACTGCGAACCCTTTTTTGATCGCACCTCAGATGTAAGAACGCAAGCACTCAAGACATGTGAATGTGCATTCAGTCGCATTGATCTCTGGCTCTGCAGCGGGAAGCTCCGACAGCTGAGAGCCTCAAGCAACTCAGCCCTTGACCTGGTCCCTGAGTTGTCGGCAGAGCCAGAACAAGTAATGTGAACACACAGCTCATCAGGCACAAGCAGCAAGGATGCAGCTGTGCTTCCAAAGCCGGATTTTGTACTTACCGCGTGGGTCGTAGCAGTGCGTCAAGAAAGCTTGCTGAAGAATCTCTGATCTGTCCGCCACCGATGCCTGCAGTAAGTTCCAGTAGACCCTTGAGCGAAATTCATGCCTTCATTGTCAAGCCAGGCCGCCAGGGCAGCGATCCTGACATGAAGAGCAGACCCAATGTATACAATTCATGCTTCGCGGCCTTGCGGTCTAACTTTACTGCAAGTGAGCTGCAGCCAACAGTCTCCCAAAGCCCCCTGCAGTGCGCAGAGTTTCAAAGCACAGAGCGCCCAAGAGGAAAAACACAATTCAAGCGCAGCAATTCGACCTGCAACAGGTCAGCCGCATCGATGCCGCCTTCAAAAAGCTCCGCCCCGCGTGAGTCGTCGCTGTCCTGTGAATGACAGATGCAGCAGATTGCAGTGGATACATCTTCTTCCACTCACCAGAGCCTAACCTGACATGTGACCAAGGAAAGCCGACTTGTCATCCTTGCCAGCAATCTCGGAAGCTCGCTTCCATTCAGTTCTGCCCCCGGTGTGCAGGACGCCAGCAGCCTTGAAGTCCAAGCATGACTATATATGACTGTGACTATGGACTTCAGGGTGATACTCCTAAAGTTATGCACAGTGACTGTGTCGCCCTTGAGCTTCCCCAAGCTGAGGTCGTTTGCGGGAAATTCAGTGTCCTGACGAGCCGAAATCAAGGAACAAATGCGCGTGCGTGTTCTGCTGCAGGTCCTCAAAATCATCCCAACAGCAGCCCTTCGTACAGGAGGGCATGCACAAGAAGGAGATATAGCTGTGACAGCAGGCGCAGCAGTAAATTCGGATTGCATTGTAAGTCCTGAGATCTGGCCGTCAAGTAGCACATGTGTCTACGTCGCTACAGGTTGAATTTGGCCAGCCCCCCTTCCTACCTTCATGGTAAATTCGCTGTGCCAAAACAGAACACGTTGTGCTGCGTGGCTCCATCGCCAGTGCCGAGAGTCAAGACAAACGGACAGCACAAGATCTGGTACAAGAGGCAACCTCTTCCTTCGCAAACCTTCAAGTTTTGGCAATGGCTACTTGCATATGTTGTGATCTGTCTGACTGGTTAAGGCGCCTCCGGCCAGCAAAGCACCAGAGGCTGCAACCATTTTGCTCCGGAGAAAAACGCACAAGTAGCAATCGCACCATACAACGCCAGCAGGACCAGGAAAGCCTGCAGCAAACTTGCGTGTAGAAAGCTGGCCCCAGCCGAGACCAGTCTCTTTGAGACGCCCACAGAACCAAATCGCATGAGAATTAAGAAGTTTGACATGCCGATGCGGAAGAACGAGGAGCTCTGCACCTTACTGGGGGTTAGAGACTAGGGAACAAGGGAATATACTTTATAGGGATTCTATAGGGATTATTATATTATACTATGCCATATTATAGGGGTTATATAGGGATAGGGATTATATAAGGATTCTATCCCCTGATTCCCTCCTCATCACCAGTAAGGCACATCGGAAACAGAAAGGCTGGAGACGGCGATGTGAGGCGTAAAAGGCCAGGTAGAGCGGCCGGCAGCGTCCTGATGCAAAAGCCAAAGTATGCACTATAGCATTTACCTGCTCATATTATAGTAAATTATCTTGTATCATTTCTAGTGTGATATATTGGAATAAATTACATATGCTATATCATACTATATTATTGAGGCATATTGAGATAATGGAGAAGAACATGCAAACTGCTGATGCAAATCCTTGATTCATGGTAGCTCAGGCGTCCTGAATCCCCTTTGCCAGACTATCTTGTGCAGCCGCTGTATCGACGCTGCCGGTGCCGCTCACAAGGAAACGCACACCGTCTGATGCCGGGTACCAAGTCGATGCTTTGGGAGAAAAGCCTGTCGGCCGCGACCATTACAGCCCTTTCCGACCAACCAGCACGATGACCCGATGCTGCTCCAAAGTGCCCTTCAATAATTTTGATGACTTTGCAGGTATAGATCAGCAAAAGGAATTTACTAGTTGATCGGAAGTTGCTGCGTGGCCTCATTGAGGACAACAATGCTGTTGGACATCCCTCACTGGCCTTCCAGATCTTTGCTTGATTCGAAAGCCGCACTCATCCATGAACCCCACTGCTGCCATTTTTGTTGGTTCAAGCCTGCACAGATCATGTGGCTGCGCAACGCTCTAGCAAGTGCGATAATGTCAGCGTTTCATGGAGCCAGAAAGACATGGCTCTGCTCTGCAGCGCCTTGCACAGTAAAAGTAAGCATTACCAGGGTCGGGCTTGGATTGACCGGAAGAGCGCACCGGTACAAGTCCTCCAGGAAATTGTCTACAGCGCAAAACCACGCATCCCCTTGTTTCCTCATACATCATCTCTCGTCCTCACGCAGGGCGACCTTTAAAGCATCGTCGCGCATGGCACCGATGGCTGTAGAGATGTGACTGCGACACGGCCAGTTTTTGGCCTTGGAAGCGAATGTGAAATCTAAGCGTCTGAGCACGCGGACTAAGCGGGCAGATGATATGGACATGTAAGACAAGTTTCCCCGCACAACTTCGGGACACTGAGCGAGATGGAGCCATCGAGTGAGATTACTTCAGCTTCAGGTGAAGAAAGTCCGCAAACCTGCATCACCTGCAGCAGGGCGCTGAGCAGAGTGCTGAGCGGATGTTGAAAGATCACAAGCTCAGGAATGTTCAGGAATCATGAAGCATGCCTGAGTCGACCATTGTGGTGTCTGCGCCAGCGCTGGCACAAACCCGCATAGGACGGATGCAACGCGGATCCACATCATCTATGCGCGCAGATTTCTCAAGCTGATCATGTCTACGTCACGATGGCTCTAATAGTACGTGAAACCATCTGATGTGTCCGACCATGAAGTGAACCCGAACGCGTGGCTCGCTATCTACACAAAGCCCCTCTTGAGTCTGGAGAGTAAGGGCTTGATATGTAGGCCACTTGCAGACTTGAGCTTCAATTGGGCAAAAATGCCTGAGAAGTAAAGGACTCCGTATCTGCTGTGTTCTGCGGCCGGCCAAAGCACAGCTTACATTCAACGAACGCAGAAGTAGTGTGTGTGTTTTTTTTGATGTTTTTTTTTTTGAAGCTCTCAGGCGAGAGCTCGATTTTACAATCAGAAATGATGAAAAATATTGAGAATCATCAAAACCGTGAAACATTGTGAAAAATCATGACAAATGATGAAAATGATGAAGCATCATAAAAAGTAATATGATGTGGTTGAGAATGATGAAACATCATGACAAATCATGAAAATGGTGAAAGCAGATGAACATTTAGCAAATCATGGAAAGTGCTGAAAGATGATAGAAAATCATGCAACATGACAAATGTCAAGAACATCAAAAATGAAGGACAATTGTGAAAATCATGGAGAATGAAGAACTGTCTCAACTGACAAACAGCGGTCAAGCATGGACGGCCTGGAACAAAAAGGCGGGGGGTTGGCGGGAGCGCAGCCCCCCCCCAATTGCAAACAACATGATCTGTGTAGCCATCCCTCATGATGATGACACGTTGCTTTTTGGCACGGCAAGCGTGGATGGTTTTAAAAAAGGAGTGGGGGGGACAGCCCCTCCCATGCGCAAACAGCGTGATCTGTATAAGCATTCCTCACTGCAAGCATTGTGATGACATGGTGCTCCTTTGTTACAGCAAGCACGGATGGCCTTAAACAAGGCGTGAGGGTTGGGGGGTCGCCCCCCCCCCCCACCTTGCAAACATCAAGGAAAAAGGTAATGAAAGATGATGGAAACTACTCAAACACTATGAAAACCCATGAAGAGCATGGACAAATATAAGCCAGGATGGCGAATTTATTAAAATGTGAAAATGCGGAAAATGATGAAGAATCGTCATACCTGATGGAAAGCTGCAAGTACTGAGCAGAAAGAAAGAAGCAAGAAGCAAAAACAAAAATCGCAGATAGCAGCGATCGGGAAGCTGAGCGCATTAACCGAGAACCAGGAAGCTGAAATAGAGGGCAAGTAGCGCTCAGGAGATCGCAGGCAGCAAGAAACAGAAAGCAAAAGGCTGACAGCAAGAAGTAAGAAGCAAGAAAGATAAGAAAGAGAAAGCAACAAGCAGCAAGCAAAAAACAAGAAGCAACAGGCAGAAAGCTGCAAGCAGAAAACAAAATCACAAGGCAAAAAGCCAGAAGCGAAAAGCAGCAAGCGAAAAGCAGAAATGCAGGAAACCACACCAAAAAAGAAAACAACCTAAAAACATGCATGTCCACATTCAACGGATGTCGCTGGGATGCTGGCTGCACTGCTCCTTCTGTTTCACGGGGTTTCCGAACTAGATTGGCCAGCACTCCTCCTGGATGACGCCTCGATGTTCCCACACGCCGAGGCTTCTACCCTAGGTAGGCATATTACAAGGCACTAATGCTATTGACCTTGCCATAGGATGTTACTTTGGGGTTTCCCTACCTGGCTTCGACTGAGAACATGAAATTGGACGGACGGAATGGACTCGGCTTCGGGCGCAAACTCACGACGGAGGCCCTGTAAGGCCTCCTTCACTTCCTGACAGGAGCCGTCCGGCCAAGAAATACATGGAAAGAGGGTTGCCTAGTGCTGCTAACTGGCAGCAGGCATCAACATGCACAATTGTTGTTCGCAAGTCTTGCACCTGGTACGTCATGTTGAACTTTGCCCGAGCCTTCCACAACTCGCTCACACTTGCTCACACAGCACTGATGCATATCCACATGTGAAGGTGGTGCACATCACGAAGCGACACGCGTGAAAACGCGCCCGCATGCCACAACAACTGCAAATAGGGAAGGATCAACGCCTTCAACTCGAGCAACTTCTGCCTCAGTCTCTCGACATTTTCTTGGCCACTTGCCTGCAGGGCAACACTGATGACGAAAACATACGAAAACAACATCAGTTAACGCTTCCACTCGTTAATTGCTCATGAAGGATACTTGCTAGCTGGCTCCAAGTCACGTCTCTTTCTGTTAATGCCCGAGGCTGGCGGGCCCTGCCCTGATTGATGGGGTCTAGAAGACTTAGGTCGCCGGAGGATACTACAATAGCAGAATTCCGAACGTGCAGGCCCAGCCCCCCTGGAATCATCCATGTAAGGTTCATGTTGCCATCGGAGTGCTTAGCTTCACAGCAGTGGGGGATCAAGACGCAAAGCCGACAAGAGCCTTGGAGTGAGCGGCCTAGTTTCGGTAGCACAGCAGGCTCTGCGCGACAGAGTTCAGCCAGTTTCTGGTTTTTCCGGGTCTCTCTCGACTTTTGCTTTGCTTAAGGGGATTGACGGGCGAACCCGTCTGGCTTGTGCCATCCCCAAATGTTCTGTCTGGCATTGGTTCGCGAGACAGCGGTTTCATTCTCTGTTTGAGGTTCTCGGAACGCCCGCGTCTTGCCGGCTCTTATCCACTCAAACAACAAGGAGAAAACAAAAACTGTTAGAGAGAGACTCTCTCTCTCTCTCTCAGCCACTTTTCGCACACTGCTCTTGCAGCGTCTGTGAAGCAAGATCATCTTGCCAGCCTCCTCAAAAAACAACGCTGCAAAAATTCAAAGCACGTTTGTGCAGCTAAGCTGCCGTGACAGATCTGTTAAAGCCGTGCTCCCGGTCGGTGCAATTGAGCATCACCTGCTTGAAAACATGCCGCCACTACCTACAGCACAGCCTTTTTTCACAGCGAGTCTCGACTTTTCGTGCCGCCCATGACCTGCACCTCCCTTGCACACTTTAGCCGCTTGGAGTTCTCCTCATCGAACGGAACCACTTGCCGTGCTGGCGGTGCTTCTGACGGATCCTGCCACAAAGCAGATGGAACAGCTAACATACAGTAAGGCGTGTTGCAGATCTATCGACTCGCCACCGGCACGTCTCATTCCGTTTGGGCTTAGACATGCTTAGACAGGTTTTTCACCCAGAGCTCACCTGACCGCGGCTTTCCCGCGGGTCGGGCTGCTTGAAGCGGAGGCGCCAGCGCAGCTTGTAGTTTCGCGATGTCCTGGCCTTGCATTGGCAAGAACATGCCTGAAGCGGCGTAAAGCTTCCTAAAAGCTTCCTTTGGGTGCTGGCTCTGCTCTTGATCTGTCTCGCCTGACGCAGGCATTTACCAGCACCATGAAACGGGCAATCATGCGGAGTGATGCGGAGTGCACCTTGGGCTTTGGAGCCATTGCAAGGACCAGAAAGCGCTGCAAGCTCGCTGCTTGAGCCAAAGGCTAAAAAAAGGAGGTACCACCGCCAGCGCTAACAAGAAGGCCCTCACTCTTGCTACAAGGGCAGGCTGGATCGGCCTGAAACCTCAACGACACCACGGAATGCAGGGAAGCGAGTTCCCAGGTCCTGCCACCATAAATAATGCGCTTGGAGGAACTGATACAAGTAACACGAGCTCGGCGAATGGCACACTGCTTTTTAATCTTCATCGAATCTTGAGCAGCATCGCTAGGACAAAGGCTGTTGCATTTAGCTTAAGGCAGCAGAGGCAAGGCTGTAGAAAGCGCTACTGCGTGATCCTGAGCTGGTCTGCATTTCAGCTAGGCGCAGCTTGGCTTGGACGTGACTTGCTTCTCGAACTTAAAGACTAGAAGCCGAAGGGATGAGAGGTATGAGGTGACATTAATATGAATCACATTGAGGAGACGATCAAGTCCAAACATGGCTGGCCCTAGCTGCCCCAGGTGCAGCATCAAGGAATCTGATCGCGAAGCGATCGGTCTGTACAGTGATTCGCTAGACTGGTTTGGATACAGCAGCCCCTCTCATGGTCGTCGCACTCGCTGTCGATGCCTGCAACCAAAAGACCTTGAAGACAGATCAGACAAGCATCGCGAAACATAGCAGCTACGCTGCCCCCGGGGTCATGGCAGACGGCGCCACCAGCAGTCTGCATGTCGGGAGCTGCCTGCACCACTTCATGATCTTTCTGCAAATGCGTTTACCTGGCCCTGCATTGTGCTGCTGCGTACTGACTACTGCAGCTTGCTTGCCAACTAGGTGCGGAAGTCTTGAAAACTAGACATCGTGCAACACGGGCGCAATGGATCGCAGCGACAGATGTGCTAGCACTCGGACAACCAACAGCCCTGCCGCAGCGTCTGGAACTTCAGTGGCGTCATTTCACATTCCGCAAACATGCCCTGAGCATCTTCGATTATCAACATTAATCTCCGCCAGCATTTGAATTGTTCTGGGATCATGAAGCAAAGGGATGGGAAGCTAGTGCGCTCTCGTGGCCTTCTGGCTGAGGCAGTGCATCCAGCTCCTGCAAAACCAGCGCTGAAGTCCAGAAATCCAATGTCAAACCCGGCCTTCAGCACGAAGTCCAAGGCAGCATGTGGACAGCGGCCAATTGAGGGCAACAGACCCTGCGGAGACCAAGCTCTCAAGCAAAGGACTGCTCGGCCTACAAGCAACCCACACAGAGGTGAGACTTCTGGATGCTGCTCCGAAGCCTACAGGTAGGCGATAATCCCGGGACGGACAATAGCATGCAATAGCCCAAGCTGGCAAGACTTGCCACCAAGGAATGGCAGCGCCTTGGCTAGTGCTTGTCGTGCAGCTGCAGGCAGGGCTGGGAAAACTCCGGACCACTCGTGGAACAAGTACCTCAGCCGTCAGCTGGCAGTTCTTCCGCAGTGTGAGAACGCAGGCATCCGTAGCTCAAGCACGAGATTCGCGCTCCATCTGTTCTCCCCTTTGCATGAGCTTGTCAATCACATGTTCGCACTGATTGAACCTTGGACCCACGCAAATTAGGACACGTTCGCGCAGGAGGGCTTTGCAACAAGTGCAATAAGTGCAGCGCGTCAGACCCTCGTGGACCAGGAGCTCCTGTCCCGCTCTAACCAGACGACCAGCCCTTTCCAACACCTTTCCAACCGCAACTGGCCAGCCTTGAAGACTGCATCTATCACCTCTGCCGGAAGCTCGGGGTCCATGCTGTACACCTGCCCATGCCGCCCATGCCGTGGTGACTCACTGCCACTCTTCGCACTTTGCACATCTTGCCTCTTCGAACATGGCAGTTACCATAGGGTCGAAGATTTCTGGCCTGTGGAAGCTTAGAGCTAGCTATTAGAGTCTCTGAAACTTGGAGCTGCGATGATTACCGTCCTGGCGCGTATGTATCGGCAGACCAGGTAGAGGAAATCGCGGCTGCCTTTGCTAGATCGGAGAGACATCTCAGATGTCAGTACAGGCTGAGCGAAATCTGGCAAAGCTTGCAGCTATGCCACCCCAGAAGAATCCGGTGTGAGGAGTTGCCCGTATGCTGCCATGTGCACCTTGGGCCTAAGTAAGTAGCTAGGCTGTCGTCCAAAACTTATGTCGGCTGCACAAGTTGTGTATCTGCGACCAAGTCCCCTGCAAATGCCAGCAGCCTCGCATCATGAATTTGGGGCTTTCTGGAAACCCTGATCCCTATAAACCCCTCCTTAAACCAGGTTTTTTCTTTTTCTTGTGTGATTTTCTTTTCCATGTCATTTACCATAGTTGGGGAATGATTTGGATGCCAGGTCACTATTAATCCTGATCCCTAGAAACCACTATAAATCCTGTAAAGGGTCATATTTAACCGCAATCATTTCTCTGGAAAGCAAGGAATCAAGGAATGGATCTTTATAGTAGTCCTTACATAACCCCCAATCAAATAACTGTTTCCGTTTTCTTGTACATTTCAAAACCCGAGACCCCGAATAGTAGTTTCAACTTTCCTTCCCTGCTGACTCGGGGTAAGTAATATTAGAAGCTCTGCTTCCCTTTCATGATTCCATCTTCCTCTCCATTTGATTCTCCATTGTCGGTCATTCAAAAGTATCATGGGGAATCCCCACAAAACCCCAAACCCTAAACCCCTAAGCTCCTAAACTCTAATCCTTGCTGGGTGCCGCGCATCGCAGCATTCTCCTTGGCCAGGCGCGGCCACGCCTATCCCAAGCCATAGGGGTTATGGTGCTGTGGGTGTATTCGGGATCCTAGAAAAGGGATCTACAGGGTTTGGGGTTCGAACTTTGAAACTGGGTTCGAACATGAGCTATACTCGAAGCTCCGGGTATCCCTGACAAAAGCCATACAATAGTCCCCTATAGAATCCCCTATGGAATTCCCTTGAAGGAGTTTAGACTAAAGCTCATATACTTGTGGGCACTGCTTCAAGGCATGGACCTCCCGCCGGTCGATGACCTTCTGAACCACGCGCCACACCTGCAAGGCACCAGAGCTGTCATTACTGGTGCCAAAGGGGAAGCGGGGGAGAGAATATATGATCCAGGGTTGCTTACCCCCCCCCCCGGTATGGTCCCCCCTCCCCCCTGTAAACCTTGTGTGGTTGTGGTCCTGTTGTGCTGGGTTCTTCCCCCACCTCGTGCCATAATGCTGTGTTGCTGATTCCCCCCTCCCCTCGTGTGGTCCCGGTGGTTCTGGTGGTCCTGTCCATGTGACCCTGTGGTTGTCGTGGTCGTGTTGTGCTGGTGGTTCTCCCCCCCTGTGTGAGAGGCAACCTGTGTGTTACTGTCCTCTATACCAGCAAGTGGTCAGGTGTCTCTTTTCTACGCTTAGAAACAGATGTGCTGGTAGTCCCTACACTAGAACCTTGAGCATAGGACATCATGCATTGACGGTTGGACATCTGACTGCACGTGCAAGAAACTCAAAGCTTCACCCCATCGTACCTATGCTGTGCTGGTGATTCTCCTCCCCCCTGTGGTCCTGTGGTTCTGGTGGTCCTGTCCATGTGGTTCTGGTGCTATATTAAGAAGGTGCGGGTATTCGTAGATGATCCTGCTACATATCCCATATGATTTCTAACGCTGTTACCTTTATTCGTCTAATGATTTTGGACACAAGTTTACTTGGAGGTTCCTGTAGTGCCAGCTCACGATGGAGCCTGAGTAGAGCTATAGCCCCAGGTATAAACACCACCAAAGTCTAACAGTGACGTCAGATACAAGGATCGCAACCCCGGGAAACCCCCTTCCCTGTGACTATTGGCGCTTTTCAGATGCCAAGAACCACCCGAAAATCCATAAGTGCTGACAGTTACAAGGACCGTGACATTAGGGGGCCCCATCCCTGTAGCTGTGGGGACTTTTGACACGCGGCGAAAGCATGAGGAGCCAAAAGTGACGACAGTTACAAGGATGACAGCTTTGAGGCGTCAAAAAACGACGACAGTTACGAGGATCGCGACCTCCAGTGGCCCCATTCCTGTGACTGCTGGCACTTTGGAGAAGTTTGGGCTGGGGAGGGGGGGCACCATACCATGGGAGGGGCGGGTGGGGGGGTAGGATCCCCAGGACCGGGAACATTCATGGGGATCATATAGGGATTATTAGAAACCACTTTAGGGGTATACATGGGGATTACATAGGGGTTAATTAGAAGCAAGTTACACCGGCTTTTAGAAGTGGTCCCTACAAGAATGAGAACCCCTAAATCCTCTGTGGCCTTGCCATCTGCTGTATGGAGGGCACTGGAGATCATCCCTCTGACCTCCCCACTGCACACATTCAAGATGCAAGGGTTTAGGCTTTTGCCACTTGCGTGGCCATGACAGCATCGCAAGGTAACATGGCGGGTGAAGCATATCTCCCAGGACAAGGAGACAGCCGAAAACAGGCAGAGCCATGCAGATCCAGGACCCAAGCCGAACTAGATCCCCAAAAAAAATAGATCCCTTAGGTGGACCCCCCACACAGTAATAGTGACTATGAGGGATAATAGGGATTATATCAAGGTCCTCTTATATTCTTATTATACCACTATTACAGGGTGGGGGGTCCTCCTAATAGATCCCTACAATAACAAGTAGCAAGAAACAACGCAACCAGTACCCATCACAGCCCTGCCATGAAAAGTACTCCACAAGTCTAGCTCACAATCGCAGCTCATGTCAACTTCACATGCCACGTCAGCCATGCTGCAAGGGTTTAGGGTTTAGCATTTAGGGTTATATGGGGGGCTCAATGTATAAATATATAGTGGAGAAATAATGGACAAGAAAATGGAAACTATTGTAGCATGCTGGGGTTACATATAGGGATATAGAACTTAGTGGCTCTTAGTAGGGAATAGGGACTCTAATTTCTATATATTTTATTCCCTTATGCCCTACTGCGAAGGAGTAAGCCAGTGAGCAACCTTTTTCAAGCTCCAAACATGCTAAGAGTCCAACTTGATCCGTGTCAGGGAGACCAGCAGGCTCTGGCAGCAGCGGCCTCTTGGGACCACGAATTACAATATGGAAATAGAGGAGCATAGGGGAATTTGTGTAAAAGAATGTAGGGTATAGGGTACAAGCGCCGGGGTTAACACA